ACGGGGGGCGGGAGGGTACAAGGGGCGGGAGGGTATAACAAATAAAAGAGCATGAACCGTACAAATTGTTTTATTTAAAAAAATTTTTCAGGCCTACCAGGTTTAGTGTGAAATATTTTGTGATTCGAAGACCGTCCGGGACAAGTCCCAGACGTTGGAGCTTCCAGATTCGAACTAGAAGTCCCCAAGACCTGAAATTCGGAAATTTTGGGATACCGAGTCTTGGAAATTCCGAAATCCGAGTCTCAGGGTCTCCAAAGTAACAGATCTCGAAAATTTCGGGATCTGTGACCCTGGAGACCATGAGATTCGAATTTCGAAATTTCCAAGACCCAGCATCCCGCAATTTCCGGGATTCCGGGTGTTGGTGACTTCGAAGTTCGAATCTGGACGCTCCAGAACACTCCCGACGCGACGTATGCCACGCGCGACGTATTACCGCCCTCTTGACTCCTGTGGTGGAAAGTGATGCCACGTCGTCACATCCCCTGATGATCATGGTAGTTGTCCTGTAACAAACATAATTTCATTATTTAAGATATACAATGATTGCATTTTATTTATTAATTTATTAATTTCAATCCTTTGTAAAATTAAATAATATTAAATGTAAAAAGTAAGAAGTAAAATTGAAGAAAAAATAATAAACTATAAATAAAACTACGTAAATATGTAATAAACATAAAGAAATAAAAACAAATAATTGATACGTACAATTTAGAATAAACAAAAGTTAATGGTTATTGATTAAAAAGACATACCAAGGAATATAGACATGTTAATAACAAATTAAGTTAATTTTAATCCAAAAGAGTGGGTCAAAAGGGGGATAAAAGCAAACTTGCCCTATTTTAAAGAATGAAAAGTATATACTAGACACATTTATACATATTTGATAACAAATGAAAAGCAATGAACAATTAAAATACAAGTCACCCAAAAGTGAGGGATGTGTGACCTAATGAATGTGATATGTTCAATCTACCAGAACAATTATTAGGAAGTGCGTAAGTAGATATGGTGATTTAATAAAAAAACAAATGAAATCTACAAAAGTTATAAGAAATCGTGTAAATACAATATTAAAACTATGACCGAAATGGGGAATAAAAGCAAACTTACCCTAAAGTAAAGAAATACAGGTGAACTACGTTAAAGAACAAAAAAGTATATACTATGTATTTTGATTCACATTTATGCTAATAATAAATAAAAAGCAAAGAATCATTAAAAAGATAATTGATATTAATTATAAAAAGTATTCTAAATGTGAGAATATTGAATATTGAATATTGAAGTCCGATGGTTCAGAAAAGCAAAATAACAAGTTTTAATATTTAAGAAGCAAAAATATAAATGTAAAAAGTACTTTACTTTTAATTTAGTGAAACACAAGAAAAACCTCAATCGTTTTAATTATTCACAAATGAGCAATAATAATCTAACAACGTGAAACAAGTGAAAACAAGAAAATGTT